GTCCTAATTTTATAAAATTGACGAGACCTCAAAGATCCCAAATCCCAAATATCACGGCGGAATATTACGTCCACATTTTATAAACAGCGTTTGAATCACGACCTCCTCTATAATGGGGCGACCAACGCACCTGCGTCAGAACCAGCATGCCACTTTTTGTTTTGCTTGTTTATTATTTTCTAGTTCTCGTAAGTCCCGCTGTGCCTCGTGGCGCTGCGCTTCATCCTCAATCGGGCGGACTGAGGAGCGCGGGGAGGACGGTAAACACATGGTTTTGGTGCGCACAGCTGCGCAGCATCCCTCGATCGCATGGTTTATTGCTGCGTTGCAGCAATAAGCCATGCGATAAGCCAGTGTCAAGGAAGGTCCATAAAGTTTAATATAAAGTAGAGAATTAATACAGGTTTGTTTTTCTTTGTGCAATCTTTTTTTGTAATAAACAAAGCAAGTTGCTCCACAGTAATGAAAAAACACGGATAGTGGTACCTGCAAGCAGCTGCATTTGAAACCTTGCATTGTTTCTTGATCTCGGCTCCTCGATTCTTACAATGTCCGTAGACGACAGCAGGCACGAAGAATGCATGCAACTGTTTTCATGCAGAAGATACCATAATATTTCAAACTAATTGGTTATTGATAATGTTCAAAACTATTAGTCGTTTTCAATCGTCTGAATTTGCTTCATTTGAGCCATACCAGTTTGATTATGCCAAGAGTTCGACATACATTTTAGCTCTGCCGAAGAATTGGATTTTCTGTGAACCAAAGCGGATTGATGGTAATATATTCCAACTGCCCGAGGTGCTGTAATGTGACCGAAATCAAACGCTATATCGCGATTGCAATCTAAAACAATTGAGAATAAGCTACGATCTCCTTATGCCCGTGGGAAACACATGGCAATAACCTCTGTTTAAGTTACAAGGTATATTTGCCAAGAAAGAAAATTTAGGGAATCACTTTCCAACCACCCGTCGCATCATAGGAGCTCGCCCGAGTATCTCGTTACTTCAGTTCTGATTCTACAGTAATTTTAGAGCGGCATAATCTCGTAACTTCGCGCTTGCATGAACCATGCCAGCCGCAAATCGCTCACTCAAATAATGCTTCAATTGCTGAGTAGTCCGACGGTTAAAAAGTTGTAATTACCGTTGGTCATTACTTCGTTTTCGCGCGAGCGAAGGCAATGCTAGACGCGCGAGCCGAGCTCTGTACCTTCTGTACAGTGCATTCCTCTCTTGCAATTCACGCTCGTGCATTTCTTCGGGTTAACGTCACGCGCGTATAGCTTCTTCTATGATCTTAGCTCGCGTATAAGAAAAAAATAAAGTATAAAAACGTCGAAACTTTTAGATTCTGATCGGTTAAAAAAAGGGTAAGATAAATCCACACGTACACGAAACCATCGACGGCACCACCGGCACGCCGTATCTAAGGGTAAACCGTGGCGGCACCGGGCGGATTTACTTGTCCCTAACCGTGGTCACGTGATATTTTTCGCACGGCTAACTGTGACGTATTCTGGATTTTTTGGCACGCGCGTTCCCGTAGAGAGGGGAGAGCTGCGTTGGTCGCCCCATTATAGAGGGGGTCGTGGTTTGAATATAGTGTTTCTTGGGGTGCCTGGACCGACTATGCGACACCGTTGCACTGCTCGAGCAACAAAATGTCACAATAAGACCTCTTAAAGTTGAGAACCTACTGTATTATATATTGTGTTGCAATAATAAAAAGCAACTTAGGAAAATAGTGAGGAAGTTACTGGCATTCTAAAACTAATTCGGAAGTACTATACTACGTGATTACAGGTAAGTTTCGTTTTCAAACACATTCGAGACTTCCGTCATCCGGCAACCATAGCAACGTTGGCTCCCCCCGCCCCCCTCCTGTCACCCTGTCGTCTGCTCGCCGCGGCGCATTTTCTGTGCACGGCAAGTTTAAGTTGTTGCGTGTGCTTGGCGTCGATGGCACCTGTTGTGTGTGCGCTTCGGGACTTGCCATGCCGACCGCGTGTCTTGTGAGAGAGTGCAGCACGAGGTATGGTAAAACGAACAACATTCGGTTTCATAAGTTACCGGACGATCCACAACGAAGATCGGCCTGGCTTCGAGCCATTGACCGCGATGGCCCGGACGACATCGGTAGGAGCCAGGGCTACCTGTGTTCCCATCACTTTTTAACTAGAGACTACGATATGAATATCGAAGTGCGGCGAAGCCTTCGCTTGGACACGAAACGGGCGCATCTCAAGGCAGATAGATGCCTTGGGATGCGCAAAAGAAAGAAGGTCTGAGGTACGTTCGTGCGACGTGAACTTCCGGAATTCGTTCGCGAGAGAAGGCGACCCCGATGAGATAGTTCGTGAAAACGGACCGCAATTCACGTCCAGCGGGTCTGTCCACTTTCGGCAAAAATGGTCCATTCGGCTCTCGCATTCATCAGTTTATTATCCCCAGGCCTATGGCCAAATAGAACGGTTTAATTGCACTTTCCAGGCGCTCATTCAGCTGGCTGTGCTAGAATGTCGGCAGCTGCGACTGGCTATTACCAAATACCTCGGAATCTACAGGTGCACTCCGCATGCGACAGGGATTGCCCCTGCTGTTCTCCTTCACGAAAGATTGCCAAGAACACGGCTGAACGTCGTTAGCTCTCCACCACCGTTACTCAAAAGGAGCCAGCAAGAGAGCTGTCAAAGTGAAGACAGCGAGTGAAGTGTCACCAGCTTACAGTAAACACTACACCGACAAAAGGAGAGCAGCAAAGAACACAAAGGTTGCTGTAGGAGACCACGTCAGGGTTAAGGAGCCATTCATTTCCTTTATTTATTTCAAAATACTGCCAATCCCGGATGGGATTATTGCAGGCATTGGTACATAATAAAAAGATACATGTGAGGCACTTAACAACGAATGAACAACACTTCTCGTCATTCAAAACATCCAATAATTACGAAAAAAGTTCATCTTCGACTGCATTGATAAATGATTCAACAGTGTCGTGACTGAACACGTGTGGATCAAGGCTATTCCAGATTCTAATGGCAGAGGGAAAAAATGAGTGTTTAAAAGTGTTATTATGAAACGAATAGTCAACAAGTGTATGGCTGTGCTTGTGTCTAGTCGGTCTTGTGTTAGACAATTGAACGTACTTGGATGAGTCAATCTTAAAGGCGCCTTGTAAAAGAAGGTAGAGAAATTTTAGACGATTTAATGTTGCGCTGTCAGTAATGGTCTGTAAACCTGCTCTTTTCAGAAGCTCTGTGGGGGAGTCAAAACGACCATACTTATGATAAACAAACCTAATTGCCTTTCTCTGAAGGCTTTCAAGTGTGTTTATGTTTATATTCGTGTGAGGGAACCAAGCAATATTTGCGTATTCAAGCACTGGACGTATAAGGGTTTTATATGCTAGGAGTTTTGTTTCACAAGACGAACATTTTAAGGTTCTCTTCAGAAGGAATAATTTCGTGAGAGCTTTATTAAATACATATTTAACGTGTGCGCTCCAGTTAAGATCAGATGTTATCAAGACTCCTAGGTACTTATACTCGGTGACTCTATACAAGGGTTCATCTTTAAGGCTATATTGAAACTGGGAGACATTCTTTTTCTTTCTCGTGAAACTCATGGAGACTGTTTTTTCTTTGTTAATCACCATTTGCCAGTCATCGCACCAGTCGGAAATCTTTTTAAGAGATTTGTTTAGTAGGATGTGATCGTCTTGGTTCTTAATTTATTGATATATGATACAATCGTCGACGAATAATCTTATGTTAACATCAATGCCATCGGCTATGTCATTTATGAAAAGAAGAAATAAAAATGGAGCTAAAACGGAACCTTGTGGGACGCCGGATACTACAGCAACTGGTCGCGTACTTTGTCCCTCGTGATAAACAAATTGGAAACGATTTTTTAAGTAGTCTTCAATCTATGCAATTATCGGTCCTTCGCCCATAACATGTTTAAGTTTTATTATCAGTTTGTCGTGGGAAACGCGATCAAACACTTTCGAGAGATCCAAGAACACTGCATCTACCTGACTTCTGTTGTTTATGCCCATCGTGAAATCGTGAAGAATCTCAATTAGCTGCGTAACGGTCGATAGTCCACTTCTAAAACCATGCTGATGTGGGAATAAGATATTGTTATTTTCTACAAATGATGTCATGACTTTGAGAATAATATGCTCGAGAAGTTTGCAGCAGGTGCAAGTAAGTGATATGGGCCTAAAATTTGAGGCTAGAGTCTTATCGCCAGATTTATGTATAGGGATTACTTTCGCAACTTTCCATTCGGCGGGTACCGAAGAAAGGAAGAGAGACTTGGTAAAAATTAACACTAAATACTTGCTAACCCATTCGGCGTATCTTTTAAGAAACATATTCGGAGTTCCGTCAGGATTGTTATCTTTTTTGGTGTCTAAATTGAGTAAAAGTGCAAATATGCCTGGTTCCGTAACTATTAGGCTTCCAAGTTCTTCAGCAGTGTTGCATTGCGGTAAAGTTAAACCGTCATTACCATCATCAGCTGTAAATACCGACTTAAAGTAATTGTTATATTCATCTGCCATATTTTGTTTCTCTATGGAGCTCATACAATTAATTTGAGACTTTTTTGGGTTAACGTGGTTCCAAAATTTCCGAGGTAACGTTTTCATGAACTCGTGGAGGGTCACGTTATAGTACTTATGTTTGGCTTCTTTAATTTTTAATTTAAGAAGTTTAGAGTGCTCTGAAATCTTTGCTTTGTAGTCGGTGTTATCCTGGATGGAGTGTATTTCAGATGACTTCCTTAGCCGCTTGAGTTTGCGTTTCAGGTGGATAATTTCTCGCGTGATCCATGGGTTGTGCTTTCTTGTTATTTTTTGTTTTTTTGGGATGAACTGTGTAACACAGTGCGTGATAATTGATTTAAACTCGTTCCATATGTCGTCAATACTGACATCTATCTCGTCACAAAGTTCACGGAAATCATAAAATCTATGAGCAAGGTACGTTAATATACACGCGTCATCGGTACTGTTGAAATCAAGTAGAGTTTTGATGGTACCCTATGAGAACCTAGAAGTTCGTATAGGTATGGTGAATATAACTGCTTTATGGTCGGATAGCCCGTTACTACTTCAACATCGACTTGGCTCTGGGGGAAGTGGTCACTAAGAAATACAAGGTCAAGCAGACTGCTGGACGTTCCCTGCACCCGTGTTGGCTCTCTGACGATTTGTGACAGATTAAACGCAAACAAAAAGTATAATATTGCATCAGAGGTAATAGTGCAAAGTTGCAGCGAATCCCAGTTTACCTCAGGTATATTAAAATTGCCAGCCATAATAATCCTTTGATTTTTAATGTGTTGTTGCATGTAATCATATAAGTTGTAGAGACACTTGTGGTCTGAGTTTGGAGGCCGATAAACGACACCCTCAACAACAGAATAATAATCGAATGACACCTTGCCCCATAAAGATTCAACATCTTTCACATCAGGCATATGTTCGTAGGGGATACCTCGTTTTAGAAGTATTGCTACTCCGCCACCTCTAGTCGTTCTGTCTTTTCTCAGAATAATGTAATTTGGTGGGACAATTTCGCTATCAAGTATTAAGGGATGTAACCACGTTTCTGTGATTGTAACTATGTGTGGATTAAATTCTAAGAGAAAGGACTCCAATGAATATGCTTTATTTTGAAGACTCCTTGCATTTATATTTACGACTCTAAGGTTAGATGGCAGAATGTGCCTTTCGGTTAGTTTTCGTCGGGAACATCGTTTTTTTTTCACGGGAATTATGTCTTCTTTTGTCTCATCCCACGCATAGAGATGCCCATTTATGCGAACCTTATCATATGTTAAGAAAACCTTTTCTCGCTTATCTCGGTTTGCTTTAGTGCGGTCCCAAAGCTTCTTACGTATTTGCTATACGTGTCGGGAGAAATCTTCACCGATTGAAAAATGTGTTCCTTTCAGTTTGACGCAGTTTTTCAGTATCTTTTAGTTATCTCTACTGTCCAGTAGTTTGAGTATGACTGGACGGACCTTGTTATCAGCCTGTTTCCCGAGGCGGTGAATTCTTTCGATGCCTGCTATTTGTACGTTTAGAATTCTCTCGAGAATTTCACCTACGACCACTCTTTCGAGTGTCTGACTGTTTTCGTTCTCTTGTTCTTTAATTCCGTAGACAATCCGATTCGACCGTCTACTTCGATTTTCTAAGTCGTCTACGTTTCTGGTAATAATTTTAACAGTCGTTTCAAGTTCAAGTTCGTTTCAAGCAAACATTATTGCTACGGTAGGACTTGCAAAATCGTTTGCTTACCTGGACCAGGAAGACGAATGGGTTGTTAGCCCTCATGTTGGCAGTGCTGCCGTGCCCAATGTCGTGGAGCGTCTCGCTGCGCCGTTTTATAGCCCGAAACGGTGATGTCACAGTCGAAGATAAAAGTTCATCAAAAAACGAACGACTGATTCCAGGTTCGAAGATAAGATGCTTGCTGTCGTCCAGCGTCGGTGCAATTCCTCCGATGACGGAAGGGAACGGCGAGTCGCGGCGCGCAGCATCGCTGCCTGCGTTCAGCTTGCTGACGCTGACCGGCACCAGCACAATGTCAAGCAGGATCTGAACCAGAAAGACGAATGGGTTCTTAGCCCTCATGTTGGCAGTGCTGCCGTGCCCAATGTCGTGGAGCGTCTCGCTGCGCCGTTTTATAGCCCGAAACGGTGATGTCACAGTCGAAGATAAAAGTTCATCAAAAAACGAACGACTGATTCCAGGTTCGAAGATAAGATGCTTGCTGTCGTCCAGCGTCGGTGCAATTCCTCCGATGACGGAAGGGAACGGCGTGTCGCGGCGCGCAGCATCGCTGCCTGCGTTCAGCTTGCTGACGCTGACCGGCACCAGCACAATGTCAAGCAGGATCTGGACCAGAAAGACGAATGGGTTGTTAGCCCTCATGTTGGCAGTGCTGCCGTGCCCAATCAAGGGTGATTCTGTTTTCAGTTGTCCAAAGAAGGCCGTCAAGGAACGTGGCCCGTCATCCTTCCTTCTCGACGTCGGACGTAGTTGAAACGCCTCCAAGTTGTGCAAGGTGCCTGCAGTTGCGGCTGACTAGGACTGAATTCAGCCAAGTGATACATGGGTGCCCCGCGGAGGTAGCTCAGATGCTCTATCGTTTGGCAGTGCTTCATTCATCTCAGGTGCAAGTGCGACCTATGCCGCCCGAGGAGTGTGCCGTCCCAGGAACCTGTGCCGCCCGAGGAGCCTGTGCCGTGTGAGCAAACTACGGCACAGGAAGAGCCTGTGCCGTGCCAACAATCTACGTCGCACGAAGAGTGTGCCATGCCAGCAACCTACGCCGCCTGAAGAAACTGGGCCGGGGCGTCGAGTGCAACCCCACAGGGAGAGGCGACCACTTGCTAGGTTTCGGGACAATGTCTAATGTTCCCTTTGTTGTTGTTTTTTTGTTTTTTTTGTTTTTTTACTGTTTTCTGTTGTAATTGTAAGCTTTCATATGTACAGGACAAATGTAAGTTCTGTAAAATTGTATGATGCTGCATCTAAATATTGTATGATGTATATATGTATATATTTATAGTATATATTTGATGGGCAAGTCGTTGCTAACAATGCACTAACCGAATAACCTACTGGCCAACGCTTACCCAAACAAATTCAAGGAAGGGAATATGATGTATATTGGGTGAATTATTGTCCATTGTCCAGTTCCGGTTTCAGATGCTCGGTTGGCAACATGGTGTCCCTGTGTGTGTATATAAAGCATGGCGTCCTGAATGAACATGTCTTTGGTATTCTGTCAGCTTTTTGGGCTCATCATTACGGTTTCATTCTCTGCCGTAGTCTTACAGCAGGGAACCGAGGCAAGTACCTTACACGTGCCTCAAAGCTCAAAGTGCTCGAAAAGCGAATTGCAGAAATGCCGCTGGCCGGATGAAAACTTCCAAGACATAGACCAGTCGGCACTTTATCTGCGTCATATTAGTGAGGAGTTTATTTTCAATTATGCTTTTTTTTCATTATAGATTCTAAGTTGAGCCAGCCATTAGTCGTTGCTTGGGAGCTCTAAGCATACACCGCAGCTTAGACTGACTCACAAGGGCTATTTTTTTCAACTTCATAATAAATGTTTAAAAAACACAAGTGATAGTGATAAAAAATTTAATAATGTGCACAGAATGTAGACATATGTTACCTGCTTTTCCACATACATATTTTCAGGTGTATAAGTCACGGTTTTTTAAATTTTTTTTTGAGGTGCGATGCCATTTTTTTTATGCGCCGAGTGCCATTTTTTGTAGAGCACCATAACTATGTATATACACACTATGTAGCCATAGGTGGTGTTTCCCCCTCCAGGAGGCACTCCTGTCACCGCACTATTTTGACTCGGAATGCGAGATATTTTAATCTTTATGGTTTCCCCGATGCAGCTCAGTGTGGATAGGCAAGAGAGTGAGAATAAATCTTTTATGCTATTGATGTTGCCTAGTTCAGCCACTGAAAAGTAAATGGGCTGGTATACATGTGTTGCAGAACACTTTCTCACAACTTTCTTAGTTTCCGTTTCATGAGCAGTTTTTTGTGCCATGCTCCAGCCGTCCTGCTACATGTAAAAGAACGGACTGTGGCTAGCAAATCCTTTAGAGGTAGAAAAAAGAAGTATGTCAAGGTTTATCTTTCTGCCTGCGCACTGATGCTCGCGTCGTCTCCGGGACTTGGCCGAGGCTAAGCCTAGTACTCCAAAGCTTGGTTCGCGAGTGTCTAGCTCCCTAAACCTTCCTTCCCCCGGCCTGCATTCGCTCGAATAAAGTCGACAACCCTCTCATTTTGCGCATTTTACGTCCTTTTGCTGCCAAACACTCGATTGTCCCCACCAGACAGCACCATACTATGGGCATTTCTTGCGAGTCGAAATGCCCGTCAAACGGTACGTGCGATTTAGCGATTATGCGAAACTCCAATGTCGCGATACCAATGCGTGCAGACTAAAAAAACTTATCGCGTGAACCGTGAAAAAATGGTGTGACTTATATACCAACCTTTCCACGAAAACGACTCAACATGCGGATGTGCGATTTATGCAACAGTGTAACTTATAGTCCGGAAAATACGGCAAACAGATTGAGCCAGTTATAACGTGGAACAAACTTTTGAGTGTCCTCCCCAAAGGAGGTTTCCACCAAAGTCCTGTCCTTCTGAGGAACATGGTAAAAATACAAAGAAAACGAAAACAAGAGCAATGAAAAATATTATATTATTTACACAATGAATATACATACTCTAGCTACTGCTTTGCATAATTGACACAAATATTTAGGCAGTCATTATGGCGTGGAACAAGCTTTTCTATGTTCTTTTCCTATAGAAGAATCAACATCCCTGGAGATGGTAAAACGGCTAAAATGGCCGGTGGCTTCGCTTGCGCAGCTGAGCCACCGACGGGGCCGCGGTAGGCAACAACATGACACTTCCATGACACTATTACGCGAAAATCGAGGAACCACACTTGGGGAGGCAGTAAACTATACCAATCAGAGACGGATTCCAGGCACCATAGTAGTAGTAAGGCAACTGCGAGACTGACTCACTTCAGTCTCATTGCAGCACAGGGGGGCACGCAGTTTGCATTCGGGGCAATCGGAGGTCAAAGTGATACAAAAGCAGCTCTTATGGAGTATTGGAAGTTTCTTAGTGTTGACGTAAAGCTGCTCGCCTGGTGTATCCGCAGCTCTAGTTGCTCATGAGCAATGAACAGCAGATGCCTCAGAGCCACCTCTGTGCGGGGAAGTTTCCGTCTGGCCGGCAGCATTTCTGTAACTTTTGCGTTTCCTACACTTAGAACGTCAAGCCATGTGAACAAAGGACAGATTACTCCTCATTCAAATGAAAATCCACATATGATGGGTGCGTATGAACATTATCTTTAGAGATTTCCATTGCCTTTATTGATCGAATGAAAACGTTCAAATTTATTTCATGAAACATAAAAATATGATACGAAAATAAAGAAGTTAACACAATTTTTTGATGAGAAGACATACAGGCCGTTCCCACTGTCTCAGTTATTGACACATACAGCCTAACTTGCAGCTGGTATCTAGCTGCGGCGAAGATCATTCGAGCTAGAATATGAAACAAACGTAACACGAAAACAATATGTCGAAGGCATTCACACCTTTACAGAAAATGTACCAAAAGGAATAAAAAAAACAGTGTGAAGCCCTTTCACATAAAACGGTATTAACAAGCTTGGAAGTATCCAAAAGTTAGCTGCTCGGTTTATTTTTAGTGATTGTTGTAGAGAAACGTTGTTCACTGATTTAGTTAGTAGAGCGAAGCTTCAACTGTTGCAATTTAGAGCAAATATTGATAGTGTAAAATTGCTGTTCAATATCGTTAACGGCACTCTTCATGTTCAAAGCTAACTATATACAACCATTATCGAACAGCTCCTCGCGTCTAAACCACACAAGAGCGTTAAAAAACACAGGTTCAAAAACGACTGTTTTAGATACTCTTTTTTCCCTCGGGCAATTCAAGAACGGAACGAGTAACGAAATGATGTCGTCGTCAACACAACGGTTGCTAATTTTGTATCTGATGTTGAATTTATACTAAATGAAGTTTTCATTTATAAATCTGCATCTTGTTTACATGTTTGTACCCACTCCTACCAAGGCTCCTTGGGTGGAGG